GTGAAGCCTGAAGGGCTCCACAGAGGCAAACACAAAACTAATCTGTAGAGGGTCTCCACAGCTCAGAGCAGTAAAAATTAATTAACTTCCTTATTTTCACAAGAGCTATTGAGAAGAGAGATAGAAAACCTATTCTCTATTTTAATCTAAGTATTTGCATGCTACACATCTGATAAAGGGCTGATAACTAGGATCTATGTAGAAATGAGGAAAATCAGCAAGAAAAAAACTGAACAACACCGTTAAAAAGTGGGCAAAGGATGATGAAACAGAAACTTTTCAAAAGAAGATAGACTAATGGCCAGCAAACACATGGAAAAATGTTCTACATCTCTAATCATCAGGGAAATGCACTCAAAACCACAATGAGATCATCACCAAACTCCAGTGAGAATGGCTTTTATCAAAAAGTCCCAAAACAACAAATGTTGGTGTGGATGTGGAGAGATAGGAACACTCATACACTGCTGGTGGGACTGCAAACTAGTACAACCTCTTTGGAAAGTAATAAGGAAATACGTCAAAGAACTAAAAGTAGAACTACCGTTTTATTTAGCAATCCCATTACTGGGCATCTAACCACAGTAAAAGAAGACATTCTATAAAAAGACATCTGCACTCAAATGTTTATAGCAGCACAATTCACAATTGCAAAGATGTGGAAACAACCCAAATGCCGACCAATACATGAGTGGATTAAGAAAATGTGCTATGTGTATACCATGGAGTACTACTCAGCCACAAAAAACAATGGTGATCTAGCACCTCTTCTGTTATCCTGGATAGAGCTGGAGCCCATTCTACTAAGTGAAGTATCACAAGAATGGTAACACAAGCACCACATGTACTCACCATCAAATTGATATTAATGGATCAACACTTATGTGCACATAGAGTAGCAACATTCATCAGGTGTCGGGCAGGTGGGAGGAGGGAGGATGGGATGGGTATAGTCACACCTAATGGGTGCGGTGTGCACCATCTGGGGGATGGACACACTTGAAGCTCTGACTCGGGAGAGTCAAAGGCAATATACATAACCTAAACATTTGTACCCCTGTAACATACTGAAATTAAAAAAAAATCTAAATTTCTTATATATAGATGACTTCTTTTCTTCTTTTATGGAAAAAATGTCCATTACTTTGATTCTTAAGGAAAATTTTGGTACTTCCAAGTGCTCATATCTATCTTCCATGTTTTCTTAAACTTCTCTTGTATTTTCCATCTTTTCATCTCTTTGAATTACATTCTGAGTACTTTCCTTACGCCTTCAGCTTATCTGGTCCTTTGTTTAATCCATCTTTTTAGTTTTTCCTTTTAGTAACATTTTCTTTCTTAATGAACATATTTCATAACTAGAATTTATATTTGGTTCTTTTTTTAAAAATGCCTTTTTTCAATATGTCCTTTTTTCTTATCAATGTTATTATTCCATTATCACTGATCGTTCTTAATATATTTATTTTTAAGACTTTTTAAGGTAATTATACTATCAATGGTTTAATTTATCTAATAGAATTCTTCCATTAGTTGCAACAACTAACACTCTCTTAGGCAGTGAGTTTCTGCTTATGGTTTATAATTTTGGTGTATGAGCTCATCTTCAGGGAGTTGCCTCCCACCTATATACTAATTATTCTATGAGCTGTCAAGCTTCCTTTTGGAGTGATTTTCTATTTTCTTTTGCTGGATCTCTATAAGTTTTACTAGTTCTAAACCAGTTTTACCTTAGACTTATGTTTATGTACTGCTTGGGTTATGCAAATTAAGATCCCATAAGCAGCCCAGATTTGGACTTTCAATTTCCACAAGAGTTTGTCCATTCATGGCCCAGATAAGATCATCTGTTTTCATGCCATATCCCCATGCTATATCCCAGGACTCTCTCTGAGCCAGATTATTCTAGCTCTTTTCATAAATTGGACAAACTCTCCAGTTTTGTATATCTATTGTATAAAGAGCTTTAGATATAAGCTTTAGACATGTTGATTCTTCCATTTTTTTGTGGACTTTTTTAACATTAAGAAATTCTTTGTAAGTAAAAATGACACAAGGTCATAATTCCATCAAAATTACTCTATGTAATTAGTGAATGGCCAATACACAGCTTGGTATCATTTACTTTGGCACCCAAATGTGAGGGAGAAGGGCTTGATTGCCCTCCTTGATTAAGGGTAAATGGTCTTGAATTTTCTAGCCAAAAGGGATCTGAATGACTTTTCAGATTCTGACATTAGGGACATCCTGCTCCCCTTCGAAATCCATTATGAGACTACCGCCCATGAATTTGTCTAAATCATTTTATATCTCTTCATATATTAAAATAGTTTCTTGCCTTTGGTGTGAATAATACGTTTATGGTTCACTGAGTTAAATAGTATTAGTCTTTAACATTTATATGAAAGCAAATTTTGATGAACAATATTTTGAGGAGGAAATCCTTTTCCTTGTTTTTTATTATTATTTTATTTTCCTATCTTTCACTCTGATTCTTAGACAATTGTTGATTTGGGAGTGTTTCCATTAAAATATCATTTTACATGCCATTTTTAAAGAAGAAGCAGGGCATAGACATTAAGATTCCCAGTTCAAAAGTCAGACTGCCTGGGTTTAAATTCAGCCTCCACCACTTACTACCAATGTGTGACTTGGGCAAGCTATTTAACCTCTGTGTACCTCAGTTTCCACATCTGGAAAATAAAGATGATGATGCTGATAACAGCACCTGCCACATAAGGTTGAGATAAGGTCTGAGTTATTACACGTAAAGCACTTAGAACAGTCCTCAATATATGTTAGGTATTATTATATTTCAAATTTCCCTGAGGCTTCTTGCACAGATATCTCCATAACATAGCCTAATGATTTCATGGTTTATGGGAAAATTTCAAGGCATACTAACTATCTTGAGGCATACAGAAAGAAATAACCCTATGCTATCACTTTTTGTGATCTCTTGCTTTTTCCATGAATGGATACCTGGAAATAAATGAATCCAAATAACCTTTCCTTTTTTCAGTCAATGCACTTGTTGAGATTGTTTATAGGAAATCTCTTAGGAATGAAGGAAGTTGAGGCAAAATAAGAGACCTTCAGCTGTGAGGGCAGAGAGGGCCCTCACACACCCCTGCTGGACTTGTGGGCCAAGATAAACATGCTTGGCAAGGAATGCCTTGCTCGCTCCACCCTGTCAACTAGGTGATGAAGGTTTTGGACTGTGATATTGCTACTCCACCCAACTTCTGTTCCATTTTTAATATACCTTTGTGATAAAGTGTATTGTATCCATTTTTTAAAAAGCCTTGAAGGTGTGGCTGACAAGAAGGAAAGCAATATCCTGCCTCTGCCTCAGACATGAAGTCTTCCAGCCCTGGCTCATGACTTGCCTCTCTGTTCTAGCTATACAGCTCAGGTTCTACATTTTAAGTCAGTAAAAGCAACATCCACATACCCTGCCACCTGCAGAAGTGCCAGAAATTGTCCCTGGCAAACATTCAGGGACAATTGATTGAGTTCACAATGGTCAGTCACAGAAAGAATATCAGCACACCTTGCTTTCCTCAACAAATATTCTCTGCATAAAAACCAAATGTTTGCAAGTTGAATCACTTTTTAAATCCATTGGGAATTTGCTACTTAATAAATGCTATAGACAGTTATTTATTGAATAATAAAACTTCTTTATAAAGTATTAATGCTCCTCTAGCTTATTTGTTTTTCACATTTTTTTTCTTTTATTTCAGCATATTATGGGGGTACAGATGTTTAGGTTACATATGTTGCCCTTGATTCCGCCCCCCAAGTCCGAGTTTCAAATATGTCCATCCTTCGGGTGGTGCGCATTGCACTCCTTGTGTATACAAATACCTGTCCCCTCCTCTCTCCTCCCCCCTCCCCCCTGCCCGACATCCAATAGATGTTATTCTTATATGTGCATTTATGTGTTGATTAGTTAATACCAATTTGATGGTGAGTACAAATGGATCCCGTTCTTCTGCTCTTGTGGTTCCCCACTTTGGATAATGGGCTTAAGTTTAATCCAGGAAAGTATAAGAGGTGCTAGATCACTGTTGTTTCTTATGATAGAGTAATATTCCATTGTGAACATATACCAAATTTTGATAATCCACTCATGGATTGACGGGCACTGGGTTGTTTCCACATTCTTGCAATAGTGAATTGTGCTGCCATAAACATTCAGGTGCAGATGTCTTTATCGTAGAATGTTTTGTGCTCTTTTCGAATTTGAGGATCTGGTTTTCTTTAAAGCGAGACACATCTATAGCTTTAGTTTGTCCACTATACACGTCATCTAGTCTTTGGGTGTTCAGGAATATTAGAGCATGAGACTTAATGACCTCTGCTGTTCCTTCCAGCTTGAAATTCACTATATCTTACTAAGGCAGTTTAGGAGTAATTAGAGACACGGCCTCTGATTTTCTCATTCCATCCATAGTCTGAGGGACGGTGTGCATCTAGTATCAGTTTCTCACACCGCTCCATGTGATGCTTCATAATGGGGCTAGCCTGACTGCAGTGGTGGACGTGACATAGAGAGCAAAAGCAACAATAAACTGACATTTTGAAGCTTCCTCAGAGATTTCTTTCTATGGCTACGTTTCCTGCTTTATTTTTGGCCATGAAAAAAATTATTATAAAAGATCAGAAATGCCTGTAACAATCAAGTTAGGACCTTCTTTCTGGATGTTCCCTTGAGCACAAGGCACTACATACAATATTTTGGTTTTGTTATGAGTGCCAGTAATGCCATACAGGGAAAAGCATATTAACTCTACTTAATATACTGGAAAAAAGTACTACAAGTCAGTTTGGTTACTTGCCAAAGTTGCCCAGCAGGTTATGATGAAGCCAAAGATGCTCAATTTTGTGACAGAATTACTAGGCTATACCGCTTGAAGTTGAAATGTCTGACACCAGATATATTTTAGTTCATAACTTCCTTTATCATCTCCATCGAACATCACACTCTTCATCAGGGCATTGATACATTCACCAATTCACCCTTGAAATAATCTCAAGAACAAAAGGCAGCTGAAAGGTAATAATTCAACACTAATTAGATACCCAAGCCACAAGCCTCCAAATACAAATGTAAGTAGTATTTTCACCCCATCTGTGGCTGAATAAATACTTTCACGTTAGTGTAAGCATTTGAAGTCACACAGATTAAAAAAAAGAGTGTGTGACTCACATCAGCATTATTTCATCTCTTTAATTGCATAAATAAGTGTGATAATCTATTTGAAACATCTTGAAAAACTTCAAAGAATGAATAATCATATTTGGTATTATTATTGCTTTTAGGAATAGTGGCATGGTAAACTATCATCTGACCTTAAGATCATTTAAATACATTATAAAATATTTTACATGAGTAAATATGACAATTTATATGAAATTATTACCAAACTGATACGGAAAGAAATGGAAAATCAGAATAGTCCTATAGTATTAAAGAAATTGTATCTATTTTTATAAACCTTTCCACAAAGAAAATTCCATATCCAAATAGCTTCACCAGTGAAGTTCCAGAATTGAAAGACAAAATAACTTACACCTCACAAACATTACCAGAAAATAGAAAAAAGAGATAACGGACACTTCACTATTACTTATCAGCCAAGCATAATCTTGATGACAAAACCTGACAAGTACATTACAAGAAAGGAAAACAGCAGACACATGGATGCAAAAATCATAATAAAATTAGCATGACCTTTTTTCCAGGTATGCAAGAGTGGTTTAAGATTAAAAAATTGATCATTGCACTATAACACATTAGAAAAAAGAAAATCACATAATAAATTCAATAGATTCAGAAAAAGCATCTGATAAAATTCAACACCCATTTATAACAAAAGTGCCTAACAAAAAATTCTGCAGCAGACATTACACTTAACTGTAACTTTTGGAATAAGACAAAGATACCCACTATCACCAATTCTGTTTGAATTATACTGGAGGTCCTATTATAGTATATACAATAAGGTAAGACACAGAAATAAAAGGCATAAAAATTGGAAAGGGAAAAATATAATTTTTATTATTCATTATTAGAATTAATAACTGTATTTATCAAGCCCATTGGATACAAGGTCAATATTCAAAAATCAATTAGCTTCTCTATACAAATAATAAACAAATAGAAAATGAAACTTTTTAAAAGATATTAATACCATTTACAATATAACATTTAAAACATCCATTTTAGCAGGTATATGAAAATGAATTTAAAGAACGAACATCAAACAATGATTGTTTAAAGAGTTATAACAATCTGATGGGACAAGTGCTTAAAAATACATCCAAAATCAATATAAATATAATTCATTTTTAATAATCATTTTCTAAAACCAATGTCTAAATCTTTCTTCTTCTTCCTCCTGTTTGTTAGCTGCTACATTTCTCAAAGGCAAGGTATCACAGCCATTTGAAAACTCACCAATAATTCCCTAATAACATCAGATAATAGGTATGGCCTTCAGGAAATATTCCATGGAAGCCTTTGGTTTTAAATGGTTTTATGTCTTAGAAAAAAAGTATAAAATGAAAATAAATTAATACATGATAGTCAAAAGTCTCTTAAAAGTATAATCTCACATGAAATCAGATAGCTTCTTCATGCAGAATGTCTTATAGTATGTTACATGAAAATATACAAGGTGTTTAGAGAAGCAATTTTGAACTAATAGAGAACTTCTGAATACTACCTCAGGCAAGGCTGAGAGTACTCAAATATTGTGTGACTTTATGATGAATTTACTAGACCCCAGGGCCAACTTGAAATCCTCTTTTTACTCCTCCAGATTTTCCATACAGTTCCTCACTCAGAACAGCTCCAGATGTCTATGGGAAGAAGAGCTAGGACTTGGCCATTTACACACAGACCACAAATGAATTACCCAGAGTATTGCTGGCAGAGGGACTTAAACGTAAGGACATGGGAAAATCTTCACAGGTTGCCAATAGTTTGTGTAAATTGTGAGAAGACAAAAGGGAAGTTTCAAAAAAACAAATCTTACTAACATAATTCACATTGGACAATATGAGCACATTCCAGTCAATACACTTCATAGACATGATCTCACTGGTCTCCCCAACATCCTTACAAGGAAATGAGGGGGACAAGCATGATTCCACCCTTTAGGTCAAAAGCTTCATTCTTCACTCCTACTTGTGGCCAGGAGTGGGTGGGACACATTTAAACATGGGAACAAATTACCGTCTTCCTTGCTTTCTGAGCCCTCGACATGTGGGTGAGCAGGTTTGCCTTTTCACTGCTTGAGGCAACACAATTCCCAAAACAACATGTCTGAAATGTTGGGGACTGAGTCATTGGCCAGTGATAATTCTTAAACAACTGCTGGTTTGTTTCTCAACCATTGCTTGGCCATGCTTACTTGGACACAATACAACATGCAATGAAAATGCCTAGGATGATATTTTCCTCTTTGGCCTAGAGAAGACTTTTAAAAAGAGAAGACAAGGGTCAACGCGGAAGTGGGGTGAATGCACTAGGAGGATATGTTGCCAACACTATAGGTTTGAGATCTGGAAATGGCAGCCCATTGGGCCTCCAGAAGTTCTCCCAGACAGTAAAATATATTTCCATTTTTCTGTTGGTTTTTTTTTTTCTGCAAACATATCTCAAAACTTGTTTCACTCCTTCCTTATGTGTGCTATAAAAAATATCCATGGCAGAAGTGTTCAAATTCTCTATAAAAATAGTTACTAGCAATTAGAATGTTAAGGAGAAGTCATTAGAAAAGACAGAAATATAATTGCAAAAATGTATTGGATAGTACTTTTCACATTAGGAAATGCAAGATAATTTATTCAAAGACCAACTCCTTACGACTCATTTGATTATCATATACTTAAAATATGTTTAGATTTTTTCTTTCACACATTAGAAATAAAAAATGACTCAAATATTGACAGATGAAAAGCACAGATCATTCTCCATATAAATGTTGACACACATACTCTGCCCACATGGCTATCTCTTGTGGTTAAAGAACTCAGCAGCTTCTAGCAGACATCTGAGATGAGCACCATATGTGGTATAATAATGCATTATTTCACTAAAGCTTTCAAAGCTTGAGAAAAATAGCCTGAAGAATTAGATTGTCCCTTTCTGAGCCAAGGTTGCAATCTTCTGTGTCCAAGATGTGCTTGAAAACACTCATTAGGTAATTGTCAAAGCTTAGAAAGATCAGCCGAAGCATAGAAATAATATTACTGCTGACTTCCCTTTTCTGTGTTCAATCCAGATGGACACATGGAAAGTGACATTTATAAAACAGCAAAGAAAAGGAGAACGAGGAAACAAAAACCTTCACATCTATGTTCTTTTTGTAGGATCTTATTATTATTTACTCTGTATAATCCCCAGAAAATGGAAAAATTGTATCTATTCAATAAATTCTGGAAAGTCTCCCTCTATCTTCCTATAATATAGTTTCTAGTCATTGTTGGGCAATTATATTTCATATATCAATATTAAAATCAACAACATGAAAGGCAGTTTTTAATATCAAATAAAGAGTCTTGAAATGCAAGTCAGAGAACTTCACTCTTTCGCTGACTTGGTATATGACCTTGAGCAAGTCACTTAACTTCTCTAAGCCCTCCTTGCTTCATCTGTCAAACAAGAGAGATGAGATAAATTATCTCCACACATCTTTCCAGACAATTTCACTCTTTTTGCACATTGGTTTATGTTTGCATAAAAGGCTCAATCTGTTTCTGGCATGGCAATGACCACATCAGAATCTCTATTTGGGATAGTGAGAAAAACAGGCCAACACATTTATAAGATTAATTATCGTGGCTAAAAAATACATAAATATAGATCGGGGTATATTTTTATTATCCACAAAAATTTCCATTCCTGAGTTACTTTATTAGTAACTGTTACTTCAACCATCCCTGGTGAGATTTTCCAGTAACTCTAGGTCAGAAACTGTGAACCCTATTTATTTTCTAAAAAAAAAAAAACTCTTGTATTTTCCATCTGCAAAATTTTCACACCAGTGGCTTAGTTCCTTAGGGTCCAAGGGAGACTTAAAGATTTGAGGGGAGGTGAAAGATTTATGAAGAAAGTTTAAAGGAGGTAGAAAGAGTTTGAGTGGAGAGTGTATTTAGTCTAGAAACAAAAACCACAAAGTGTGGCTTAATAAAAGTCATCAAGACTGTGAAAGACCAGCTGCCCTCTATTTCCTCAAAGACTAGAATCCAAAGAAACCGCCTTTGATTACAGCAGGGAGTGCTATGATTTAAACCCAAACAAGAATTTCAGGGTTGGGTCCCTGAAACAAGTCACTTAGGGAGATTGTCAACACCTCTCCAAGGTATCTTAAGACTTGGGACAGATATGAGGCTAATATTAGTTCATGTGTACGAAGGGCTTCTATATTCAGGCTTGTGCTAAGTACATTACGTTTATTATTGCCTTTCATTTCACAGCAGCCCTATGAGAGAGGTGTTGTCTTTATTCGTATTTTATGAATAAGAAAACTAAGATTCATCACGTGGCTAGCAAGCAGAAGAATGTGATATGAACCCAGAGAGCTGGACTCCAGAGCAAGCTCATTTACCAGTAGGCTCTACTGCCTCTCTGAGATGGATTGATTCTCACACAGTTAGTTGCAGTTTTATTTGGAATAAGAAAGGGAAGCTATTGGATTTGACCTTCAAATGTAGGAAGACCTTTTATGTCGAGAAATACAATCTGAAGTTCTCCACCTCCACCAACTCTGCAATAATTAGAAATGGCTTAAGTGGTTTGGAGTTGTGGAAAGATCATAGAATGTATGAGAACTCCACCTTTGTGGCCTCAGACATTTCATTTAACCTCTCTGATGCTCAGTTTCCTTTTTTGCCTATGCAGCACTCTTCATAGACCACATGCATCAGAAACTCAATGGTGAATGAAATCTGAAAAATGAGAAAAATAATAACTATTACACAATGTTGTGTTTAACACTCAGTGAGCATGAGTTCCCTTCTCTCTTCCCCTTCTGCATCAGAGATTTA